ATCATATTTTTAATATTTTTATAAAATACATACATAATTGAATTATTTTTTTAAAAAAAGTATTATACTCATGATTTAATGTATCCAATTCAACCCAATAAAACAATTTAAACTTAAGCTGATAAATGATTATTACATTAATAATTTTATATTAATATATCTAACACACTTTCTCACACTTCAATCCCTTATAATGCACAAGCTTCTTTTTTTTTCGAATTTTTTTTTGATTAGAATACAAGACAATCGTGACCATTTGATCACAAGATCTGTACCATATAATATAACCAACTCAAACAACAACAATTTCAAGTTAAAAAAGTGATTATTACATTAATAATTTTATATTAATATCCAACACATGACATGCTCTCTCTTCTATTTAAATTTTTTGTAAACGTAAAAAATTGCAATTTATCTAATATTTAAATTTTTATAAGTTCAATGTTATATTGAAGTAACTGTCGTAAGAAAATTATTTTGTAAACTCTAATTTAATATAGGACCGCTCGAGTCTGCAGTAGTGGTACTGGTAGACAAAAATATCTGTTGCAGACACATCTTTTCTAGGATCTGTAGATGAATTTTGATTTTTTTTATTTAAAAAAATTAAAATTCATCCACAGATCCTGAAAATAATAATAATATATCTACAGTAGATAAAATTTTTCAGCCACAAAAACAAAAACACTTTTGCCTTTAATATAATATTGCTAGATACTTAACATAGGTGGCCAACGTCACTGACATGATTGTGACGGATTCAACTTCAAAGTAATTACAGCACATGCTACGGTGAAATACAAATGCAACTTTGTTAACTTTGTTCATTCCAAGTGTGATGGCCTTTGTGGATATGCTTGCATTCTGCATTATTGCAAACAGGGAAATATCATTCAGTAAGATTTTCAGTAACACATGTCGATGAGAAATATGGCTTGAGGCATATTATTGTAAAGGATTGTCCTTTTATAAACTAAAGAGAAGAAAAAGGAAAGCAAAGTAACCCAAAAAAGATTGCGATAAAAGAAGAATCCATAATTTTTAAAGATAAAGTTATCGCATTTCCATGAATATCAAATATGTGGATAGCATAGTCCTATAATCTGGATAGGAAGTCAATTCAGCTAGAGGTACGCGCCAGTTATTGGGTTAGCCGATCATTCAATTAGAAAATCTCATATAAAGAAAAAAAGTATTTTACTTTTTTTTTTTAAAATAAAACACAACTTAATTATAATTTTATAAGGCATATATTGAACATTATAACCAAATACAACATCATAACATAAATACAAAAAACATTTCTTAAAAGGTTTAATTAAATAACTATATAAAAATAATTTATAAGTTAATATAGAAAAAATACACTGTACAAAGTAAGAATTTTTTTTCTAAATAGCCAATATGAAAAAATAAAGGGAATGATATTTTTAATATTATAAGAGATAAATTTAATCTCTTATATATACATAAAAAAATACGAGATTCATATTTATTTATTTATTTTCTCACATATTTTTATATGTATTCTATATATTTTTATGTGTATATGTTAATATTATAAATAAAAGAGTAAACACCATTTTTGGTCCTGACAATAAAAAAGGAATAAATTGGTCCCTAACAGTATGTAAAAAGGGCCACGTTAGTGACAGAAGAATTGACATAAGGACTAACGTGGCCCTTTTTTCATAATTTTAGACACCAATTTGATCCTTTTTTATTGCCAGGGACTAAAAAAAATTTCGTAGATATTATCGGAGACCAAAAAAGGTGCTTACACTAAATAAAATGAAAATGGAACATGAATGACATTTGTACTATTTATGACCCGTGTATAGAGTTCCAATATTGAGAGTTGACCGTTGACTAATAGCTTCGTCGGTAACACGGGGAAGTGGAAACTTTATACAAGCATGTCGGGGGCTGAGCAAATCTTAGTCTCAGAGTCCGTAGATTGTATATGCTTATTCTGCCTCTAAAGCGACAAGCATATATGACACGGTCTATATAAATTATAACCTATATACGTTCTTCGTACCTCTGCATATATTGTCAGTGAGAAAAATATATTTATAAATTTTTTTATTTATAAATTCTTATAAATTATATTGATTATGATCTATCATACTTTAATTAAGAGTGTATGACTAGTCATACTTATTGTAATTTGAAAAAAAAAAATTGTAAACAGATCCTTATCTTATTGTTAGATACATATAAAATTATTAATATCATATCATTTAACTGCCTAAATATTTGGGTTAAATTGATTCTTTATATAATATCAGATCTTCAGTTTCATAAATTCAATCCTCGTCGTCCTTTATTTAATTAATTAAGTCTTGTGAGGTTTCTTAGCACATGATATGTGAATTTGTGCATTGTCCATCCTTTAAGCCTAGCAAACTCTCGTGTGAGGGGACATGCGAGAGATATATAAAATCATTAATTTAGTCTCATCCAATAACTTAGACTTTTGGATTGAATTGGTTCTTTACATATATAATTTGTAAAATATCAAATGATTAATTCATTAACATTCTTTGCTTACAAAAGAAGAATAAGGTTATATATTTACAAACTTTTACAAATTATACTATGTACTCCAGAAAGTACAAACACTTAAATGTATATTCCCCAGAGTACATAGTGTAGTTTATAAGAATTTATAAAAAAAATTTATAAATATAACCTACCCAAAAAAATAAATTAGCTAGAGTTGGTGGAGTTGACGAAGGTAAGATTATCACTTCGAATTTTAACAAGAAGAAGCAATTCGATGTTTCCTCACATGTTCGAGCACGAATAATAATTAACTACAACCACCACGACCTAATCCTGTTATACACTTACACATGATTAATCAACCCATCTTAATTATAATAAGAAATTTCTTTTACACCAAGGATATTCTTTATTCTTCTATAGCAAGCAATACCAGGGATATTCTTTATTCTTCAATACTAAGCAATCTTCTACACTGCGAGCGAATGTCTGATCTTCTTCGTGAAAGCAGCAAGCATATATGCATGTTTAATACACGATGGATCAATATCCAAAAAAAAAAAAAATACACGATGGATCGAGATTTGAATAAAAGGACTGTTTTCAACTAAATACCTCTCTTGGTTCCTTGTTTTCTTGATAAGAACGACGAGCAACATATATCATATATAGCTAGCTCCTTAGATTTATTTAAAAAAGAAAAAAAACAATGGCATAATTATGAATAACTTTGCACCTTTCATGCATTATTGAGTATTACTAACATTGAAAGTTTTTTCCACTATTACTTAATGATGTATTGACATGTTAAATCATTGTTTGATTCCTTAAGTAATTATTAAAAACATTTTGAATAAAGGTCGGTTTAACTCAAAAGCTTGAGTTAGACTATAATAATTTATTAACTTACATTTTCCCTAAAAAAAATATATATTAACTTACATCATATGGTAGAAGATAAATGCCAAAAATAAATACAAGATAAGATAAAAGACATTTGGAACAAAGGTTAAACTAAAGCTACATAATCTGTTGATTAACAAGGAGCCAAGGATCATGCATCCGAAATATCTTCATTCCAAATCTACTATTTCATCCCCTTTAAACTGAACGGAGTAGCACAGTGGCCAAGTATAAATCGTAGCACCAGAAAAGCTATTTGTGGTTATGACTTTATGAAATTGTTTTCTCACTCATAACATATGTAAGAGTAATGGGGCCAAGACATAAAAGGGGTGAAAGATATCAAGTTGTTGTCTTACCAATAGGAGCAAGATTATAATCTTAAAGCACTTAATAGAATCACGAAAGACAGCTCAGAGTGTTAACTAAACCTTAGATTTTCATGAAAATAATTGAGCTATGTTCCAATAATTAAGATGATTGAATGTTAAAAAATCCAATATTAACAACCTATGAAGCACCGACACTTCAAAAATCTTGACGTGTCGTGTCTGACACTTCCCGACACTCTCGGACACTCCGACACTCCCGACACTCCAACACGCGTTATAAAAATTCAAAAAAAGGTTCAAAGGTTATGTTGCGTTGAGTTTTTAGTTCCAACTATTAGATCGTTGGATTACGATTACCATTTTATTGAGTTTAATATAAATATTTGGGATATCTTATATTTTTTTGCAAAATTTATGAATATTATAAGTTTAGATTCATTTTTTTGTTTAATTATTGAATATTAAAAATTATATACTACATAAATTAAAAATATTATTTAATATCAAAACGTGTCCTAACGTGTCGAAATCTAATATTTTTTAGAATTAACGTGTCGGAGTGTCGTGTCGTATCGTGTCACGTATCCCATGTCAGTATCGGTGCTACATAGTTAACAACTAATATATTGGAAATGGGTCATTAGGAAGGGAATCTAGAATTTCTCCTTTAATAAAACCAACCATAAATCACCAAATATTATGAAGTTGAGTGTAGTGTTAGCCATTAAAAACTATGAGGATGTTTTTAATAACGTCCAAACAAATATAAAACATGAGTCTGACCACAATGTCTTATTAACGTATTAAATACGAGACGTTATGAAAGGCAAATAAAGGCTAAACTAAAGCTATGTAAAAATGTTACTTCGTAACTTTTTTTAAATGTGCTAACATTATTTTTTATACCAATTAATTATATAAAAATATCTAATTAACAGTATGCATTATATGATTAACAATTCGTTACTCATATACGAAATTAATCAATATAATGGGTGTTAGTTTTTAAAATAGAAAAATAAGGCATGGTGTCGGTCTGAGGGAGGTCGATCTGACTCTGACAAAAAGTGATATTTTACGGTGCAACTTCTTAATAAGAATATTTACACGTCATAACTTAATTAGCACTTGGGCGTGCAAGTTCTTAACCATGGTCACTTTCTAAACCAAGGATCCTTAACCTAGCCACTTTCCAAGCACTATATATACGATTGATCCCCCACATGGTGTATATACCCCCCATGACACACGTCCATCACTAGCTAGTTCATTGGTGACTACTATCATCTTCAATTCTCCATCCATATCTTCACTCTATATATTGTTATTTATTTTAACTATAATTCTCCAAAACATGAAGCCCACGGCAACATTCCTCTCGTTCCTAACCCCAACGCTCCTTGGTCTTCTTGGAGCAACATTCCAAAGCACCCTCTCTTGTTACTCTTGTTCACTCTTCACTCTCTTTATCTCCACGTTCCTCACCCTCCTCGCTATTTCCCTAAACTACTGGCTTGTCCCTGGAGGCTTTGCATGGAGAAACTATAAACAAAACACAAAACTCACTGGTCATATGGGGTGGCCCATACTAGGGACTTTGCCTCATATGGGTTCTCTTGCTCACGCAAAACTCGCTACTATAGCCACTTCGTTAAAGGCAAAAAGGTTAATGGCACTGAGTCTAGGTGCCACACCCGTTGTTATTAGTAGTCACCCTGAGACTGCTAGAGAAATTCTATTTGGTTCATCGTTCTCTGATCGTCCAATCAAAGAATCAGCACGCATGCTCATGTTTGAGCGTGCCATTGGTTTCGCTCCTTCTGGAACCTATTGGCGCCATCTACGTAGGATCGCAGCGTTCCACATGTTTTCTCCTAGGAGGATTCTAGGCTTTGAGAGTCTACGGCAACGTGTGGTTGATGAAATGGTGATGAGAACATGGAAGCAGATGGAGGAGAAAGGGGTGGTGGAAGTTCGAGGTGTGTTTCAGGAAGGGTCTCTTAGCAATATTTTGGAGTGTGTTTTTGGTACTAATTATGGGTCTTTGAGTTATGAAAATGAGGAGTTAGGAAATATGGTTAAGGAAGGGTATGAGTTGATTGCAAAGTTTAACTTGGAGGATTATTTTCCTTTGAAGTTTTTGGACTTTCATGGGGTGAAGAGAAGGTGTCATAAGTTGGCGGCCAAGGTGACTAGTGTGGTGGGTCAAATTGTTGAAGAACGAAGAAATAGAGCAGAAGATTTCGTTGGGGAGAATGATTTTCTTAGCACTTTGTTATCCTTGCCCAAAGAGGAAAGGTTGGGTGATTCAGATATGATTGCTGTTTTGTGGGTAAGTACTCTATCTCTTCTTCTTCTTTTCTTCTTTTCTCTCACCTAATTGCACGCACACGCACGCACCTTGCGCATAAAACAACCGCACTCAATGGACCTTTGATCGATGGATATATAAATAAAGTAAAACGATAGAAGTGTCCTTTTTCATATACGTTTTGCATTTAAATATGTACCTCCATGCCATGGTACGAAAAAAATTTCAATGCATTAGGAAGTACTGAACTTGATATTTTCTTTTACTAAAAATGAATTTTTCTTCTTCTTTTATCCATGTTTTTTTTTTTTAATATTTTTTATTAAGTTCTAAATTTTATCTTTTTTTAATAAAAGAAAATATCATCTTCCAAGCTACAAACTAAAAAAGTAATTTTTTTAATTATCACCTAAAGACAAGGTTAAATCACGTGAAATTCTAACATAAAATAATGCTCGCCGTAGTTTCTTGTGCATATATTTGGATTTGAGTTATGCTTCATATAGCCATATTATTGATTTTTGCGCAGGAAATGATATTTCGAGGAACAGACACGGTTGCTATACTACTAGAATGGATCATGGCCAGGATGGTTTTACACCAAGACATACAAATGAAAGCCCGTCAAGAGATTGACACGTGCATAGGCCAAAACAGTCACGTGCGAGATTCAGATATTCCAAATCTTCCTTACCTGCAGGCCATAGTAAAGGAGGTTCTCCGACTGCACCCACCGGGCCCATTACTATCATGGGCCCGCCTAGCAATCCATGATGTCCACGTCGACAAGGTTCTTGTGCCAGCTGGCACAACAGCAATGGTTAACATGTGGGCCATATCCCATGACTCGACTATATGGGAGGACCCATGGGCTTTCAAGCCCGAGCGGTTCCTTAAAGAGGACGTATCCATCATGGGATCGGACTTGAGACTTGCCCCATTTGGCGCAGGACGTAGGGCATGCCCGGGTAGGGCCTTGGGCTTAGCCACAGTTCATCTCTGGCTCGCACAACTTCTCCACCAATTCATATGGCTTCCAGCGCAACCTGTTGATCTTTCAGAATGTCTTAGGCTTTCTCTCGAAATGAAGAAACCTCTTCGATGTCTAGTGGTTCACAGATAAAACATCATAAGCCCTTGACGTCAACTATGTGAAACGTGCAATTAAGAATATTGATGTGTCTAACGGCCTCAATATTTATGATGGAGTGTGACGGTTATATCCTTTTTTATAAGTTTGGTATTCCCTTAAAAGAGTACGAGTGAAATATTTAGAGATGAGTTTTTCCTACTATTATGAAACTTATCTATTTCATTCTGTTTTTTTAAGGTTGTCAAATTAACCTTTAGTGTTGAAATAAATATCTAGTACAAGTTGACTAGAACTGAATGTAAGAAGAGAGTGAACTAAGAAGATATAAATATGTCTCTTTAGAATTGTAAAACGTAAATTATTGTAATGTAATGAAGTTGCTTTGATATGCATTTTCTTCTTCTTTCATCTAAAGAAACTTTTTTGCTGCCTTTTTATTTTTATTTTTTTAGGTTCGCGTCTTGTCAAATGCCTTTTAGTTGAACACTTACACGTTACACCATCAGTCGCCGACTCGCAGGCTGTATAGCAAACACGTTGGAAAACCATAGACTTAATTTAATTATCAGCCGCATTAATGCTTCTATCCGATTTATTCCAACTAGTAATTGATTAACCGATGAATAATATCAAAAATAAATTTAATTACCAGCTTGCACAATTTCATAATACCAATATAAATTTCAAATAATGTTATACTTAATATATAATTCTGAGTTATTCAAAATTTGACATGCGCGCGGGCAATTGCACCATGATAGAATATTGGCATATGCGATATATTGCGGATTGGTATAAAACTACAACTTATACATAGGGATAAAACATATAGATATAGATATACAAGGGGATGACATCAAAATCGTTTTCCACGCATATATGGATATAAAAAGGGTCTTTGGGGATTGGCAAGATAAATTTTAATTAAGAAAAAGAAGAAGCCAAGATCTAGTGCTTAGTTTTGCTGCAGATGTCCCACCACTAAGTCACTAACCAAAGCTTAAGCCTTCATGATAATCATTTCTCAAATCAAAGCAACTACCACTGGTTCTCACTAACTTTAGTTGTCTATTTCTTTTTTATGATGCATTTGTACGTAACTGCTAAAAGCATCAAACTTTAAACCCGTATCTTTGTAAGAAATAAAAATAATCCTTCTTTTCTATTTCAACCTTTTATATGTAAATAATATTATTTGCTATTACTACTTAAAATACTCTTTTTAAGTTACCTCAGTTCTATATTTTTCTGAAACCCTATATATGTGTTTGGATATCTTGGCAGTAATTCAAACTCTGAAATATAAAGCGCGCGCTCTCCCCCTCTCTCTACTTTTCCTTTTCTCTCCTTTTGCACTTTGATTGCAACCTGCAAGTCTTCCGCCTGTTTGATTGTGTTTTGGCTTTTTTGTTCTTAAAATTGTTTTGTAAAACAATTATGGAAACAGTTGTTTTTTATGTTTTTTGTTTTGTTTTGAAAGTTAAAAACCAAAACAGAAAACAAAAACAACTCAGACTTCTCTAAATTTGATTTTAAAAATAAAAAAACAGTTACAGTTTTTAAAACTTTTTTTTACAAAACAGGTTTACCAAATGAGTTTTTTTGTTTTTTTAAAAACTAGAAAACTGTTTTTAAAAACAGGAATCAAACAGAGCCTTAATATTTGTGTACATCTTTTATTTTATTTTTTACGGTTATGACTTTTTTTTAACCAACAAATATTGCTTTAAATGATAAGAAATTTATTTTCCATAACCACAGGCGCCGCTCCATATAATGGGTATAACAGTGTTCAAATCGAACTAATCAAAGAATTGATGAATCAAATGATATATCCAAAAAAAAAAAAAAATGCTGCATTTTTTTTCGCTTAAGCTTATTGATAATTGCATCCTAAAATACGTCTCATTGATGAAAGTGTCCATAATTTAAAAAAAGTATCAATATACTCCACTTTGAAAATTATTTACCAATCCATTTTATTTTGACTAAAATTGATCATACGGGCCTTAATTACCCGAAACTCTAACTGTATACGTGACATGATTTCATTTGCCCTGACAGGATTCACTCTGTCAACTTTGATCAAAGAACAAATGAGATCACATCATATATAAAATTAGAATTTTTGACGGGCCCACATGATTAATTGATAAAAAAAGTAGATTGGTATATAATTTTTAAAGTGAGGTAAATTAATATTTTTTTTAAAAAACAGGCATTGTGATTGGCATTTTTTTTTCCATGGTTTAGAAGAAAACAGACAGTAATTAGTCTATTGCATGTGTTCACAAAATGTTTTTTTTGGCATAACTCATTAATTCAATAAACTAACGAAGCAAGTCAAGTGATGAGCTTTTAATTAAGTAGAATATTTCGTAAACGGCCGGCTGGAGAAAAAATATTTCAAGGGAACGTCCTATTTACACAAAAAATTTCTCTGTGAATATATATATATATATATATATATATATATATATATATATATATATTCATAGATAGATAGAGGTAGAATCAACTTAATTACAATGATATAAAAATAATAAATTTCCCATTCAGTTTTAACTGTTGATTCTGCTTGTACAGGATTGATTTATATTTAAAATTAATTTAAATTGTATAAGGGAAAATTATTTTTAAATGTAAAATGAATATTCAATCGCTTGAAAAATAAAAATATATCTTAATCATAATATTAAAGTTAAAGGGTAATAATATAAAGTAAATATTAAAATTTTGCCTTTTTCCTTGAACGTTGAGCGACGTAGTTAAAAGCTTGGAATTTTTTTATAAATAATTCTGTTTTTTTTAAATATTATTTCAAAGAGTTATAAAATATGTTTTTAATCCCAAAGTAAAATTAAGTGTTAGAATATAATTAAGTGGCGATATGAACTCATGTACGGACGAATTATAAAAAAAGCAAGGGTTTGAATTCTGGAGATGATTTTTTAGGTCAAAACTAGATAATTATCACACCACATGAGTCAAGATTAATCACATATATATTAGAGTTATATAAAATTATTAATCTAACCTCACCTAACAGTTTAAATTTTTCGGTTAAATTAGTTCTTTACATGATATCAGAATCTATAATGTAAGGAGATATGTTAAAAATATATAAAACTATTAATATAATTCACCTAACAAGTTAAATATTTGGATTGGATTGAATTGATTTTTTACAACACGGATCCCTTTTCCCATCCAATCGTGGGTATACCACTGAACTTAACTTGTCCCAGAAAATTGATTAGGTCATAAAATAAAAAAATTAAAATTAAAATTAAAAATTAAAAAATACAAACCAAACAAGCACTGAAGCACTGAATTAATAGGCCTGGTTGTGGTGTGTTCCAGTGCAAAGTGAGACCATCTTCTCCTTCATGAGCTTATTCGATTTTTTATTTTTTATTTTTCTTGTGTGTGGGGAATTTAGCTTATTCGATTTTGATATTATCCAAGCAGCTCAGTAGAATTTATAACTCGTGTCCTGATAAAATTATTTAATAAAAATTATTTATATAGGTTGAGTAAATTCAATTAACTAATTAATAATATACCATTTTTATTTAAATAATTATGTAAAATTTTGTATCTATAAAATTATTTTATACTTAAAATTAGGGGTGAAAACCCATTTTCAAATTTGTGTCATGTTATAATGTTGGCAAAAATTAACACGAAAAATTTATATCGTGTTGCATGTCAACATGCAAATATGAAATTGACCTATGTTTATATTCTTACATGGTATTCTTATTGTCCAATGTAATGTGTTATGTCATCCCACATAATAAATGACACTTTTTGAGATTGACAAGTTATGTGTCATGTCGTGTCATGTTCTGTCAACCCACATAATAAACAACACACTTTGAGGTTGGTGAATTATTTGTAATGTGTTATATCCATCCAAAAAATAAACAAGTCATATTCATGTTTAAGGTTTTGACTCATTTTCAAATTTATATTGTAATCATATTGAATGTGTTTGCATTTATAATAAATTTGTATCGTATTGTAGCAATCCAAGTTGTCACCCATATAAGTTATTGATTAATTTGCCTCATATAGGTCCCTTTCATTATATATCTCTAATTACAACCATATATCAAATTCTTTCCTCTGGTCAATTCCCTTCCCAGTAAAAAATATCGGAGAAGATTATATTTATAATTTTTTTGTTTATAAACTCTTACAAATTACACTATATTTGACCGGTAATATACTCTTGAATAGAGTATTACCAGTCAGACATAATGTAGTTTGTAAAAAAAAAATTGTCAATATAACCCTACTCAAAAGTACGTGCGATAAATGTCATATATTTAATAACATTTTTTTATCAGGTTCACTAAATATGTTTTTTAAACGCTCATTAAATATATGTTATGTCAACTATATGAACCACAATTATTTTTTATTTTATGTTTTAACTATAAAATTCAGCAAATCATTTTAATATCAATCAACAAGTCACAGGTGAGACGAGCTCATTTTTAGTATAACAATAGTACATATTATTGCCATTCACAGTCTAACACCTGTATTTAAGATAAAAAATTTCTCTCTTCCATATCATCAATTAGCTTAGGGGTTTAGTTTTTATTAGAGGGATGTATGAAAAAGTGGGTGAGACAAGAGTATTCTAGAAATTTCCATATGAGACCAGCTTAATATTATAGTCATGTACGTAGTGTATAAACAGTATCAAAATGTAATGATAAGCCAAGCAAAACGACCTATAAGGTGGTGTTTGGTTGGGAGTTTTTCAGCGGATATCTATCTTTTTCAAGTATGGCTTTTAGAAATACCATGTTTGTTTCAACGTTTTTCACCAAAAACCCATCTATCCAATTTGTCTGGATTTATGAGAAACATAGATATCCGCACTGTTTAGAAACCCAATTTGAAGGTGGAATTTTTTGAAAAACCGGTTATCTGGCATTTAATGCACTGTTGATTTCATAAAGTTACCTAATTTTTCCAGTAAAGTTTTTCCCCACCAAACAACTTTTTTTACATTTTTCTACCTATCTCACTTTATCTATCTTTCCAATCATTTCTCTATCTATCTCATTTTCTTACTATTCCAAAAATATTTCTTGAACCAAACGTCCCCTAAGAGAAATGTTTTAATTCTAGATATATCTAAAGAAAAATCTTTGTGTAAACTCAGGAAATTAAAGGTATATAGGTATATTATTAGGATAATAAATTTATAATATATTATTAATTACTGATTAACTAACATAATTACTTAAAACTTTATTATTATATTTAATGACATGTTAATAATTTATTAGTTTAGTATACTTGAATACGTCAAGTTTACGCAAAAATTTTATTGCTCCAATTAATTAGTATTTTAGGAAACGTCCCTTTTAACGGT